CCCCCCCCCCCCCCCCCCCCCCCCCCCCCCCCCCCCCCCACCTCCCCACCCCAAATTGCGCATGAATGTGTGCCTTCGCCTGCCAGTTGCAGGAACAGTGCAGTCCTATTCGGACATCATCTCTGCATGTGCTGGGTGCATTTTGTGCAAACAGCGCCTATGAATAGGTTTTCGTTACCCCCCACCCCCCAAACTATGACAAGAAGAAATAAACGCTTTGTTTAGGCTCTCTTAATATTTCCAACTTAGAATGATTGTGTAATCACACTGAAATATCGTTATTTTTGCTTTGGAAATTGTGTTTTATTATGAAAGCAATAAACTGGCATGTTTATGGAGGCATATTTTGTGCAAGAATATTGCTTACACACCAATACAGTAGGTCAAATTTGGCTAATATCGTGTGGATGTGACATACTGCACCAAGGCGTTTTATATTCCATCCAGGAGTGATATCAGCGAAATAGTCGGGTGGGTGGGTGTCTAGTAATAAGTGTATTTACAAAAGAATGTCTTTGGAAGAATTCGAATTTGCCTGATCCCAGTGGGTGGTGTGACCTGCTTGCTTTATACACTGTGAATAACGATGTAGGTGTTAAAGTATAAATCAAATTGTTACATATTCGGAATTAAATGTGCGTTTATCAAAAAGGATACGAACCATTACACCATGTCACACAAAAGGTCCTAATTTATTTATCGATCTGCCAGGAAAGCGTGAAATATTGCTTTCATCTCAAATAAACAAAGGTAGAATGAAGATGAAATCACCGCCTAAAAATTATTCCATAATGGCTATTAAATGATTGTTTAGATAGTAGTAGTAATCTTAACGAAAAAAACAGAATTCACAGGAATCCATTCTTATACTTTTAATGCGCCCATTAGCTCAAGAAACTTATTACCCAATAGTGATGTGGTTGAATCATTCAAAAAACTCAAGGAGACTGAATAAAAGTTATGAAGTAATTAGATAAAGAACATTATCTACGCAAGGACCAGCAAAGAGGGTTGATAATAAAGTTTAAGCACATCTCACGCGCCTCCGCGCATATTTCAAATTTTTAATTGCCTCGTGTCTGCTGTGCTATGGTTAAAAACTGTGGAGAATCGTATAAGGTTATCTGCCTTTTAAAGGATCTGAAAAAAATTGGAGTGTCTAGACACACTCCCCTTGGTTGAATAGCACTGAACACCACAGACAGGCATTTGCTGTGATTCTGGGAATTAGTAGTGGAACTTGAAAGTTGAAAAGTGGCCCCTCTATCTTAGGCAAGTCCACAAACTTAATGAAGCAAGAATCTGGACCTTTCTGATTCCCTCCCTCCTTAACCCCCCTCCCCTCTCACCACCCCTCTCCCTTTTTATCACTGGTTAGAATGCCTGCTATTGATGTTAATTACTTCTCACGTTTAGAAATTGTCAATTTGTTTTAGTATTGTGACAATAGAGTTAAGAAAGGTGATATTTTTCAGTAGAGCGAGTGACTTGAACACTTCATCAGGGAGGGGTGGAGGGATGGGACAATCTAAAGTTACTCGTCTTTGTTTTCCTTTGGAAATTTATCTCTTGACCATCTGATGCGGACATGTAATTAACTGTCATTATTAAGATATCGCGCGAGGTTTGAAATTTTCAGGCATATCCAAACATGGTAATATATATATATACATGGGTGTGTATGTATATATACATAACTGAACACATTCTAGTCAAACCGGCGTAAAATACACACAAAGAATGCACATAAACAAGCGACATGTACTACGTGTTTTATAAGACATTGCTTTTCATAGCATCTTCGGATACAAAATGTTCGGTTATATAAATCGATAGAATAGAAGGATAACCATGAGTTTAAACGTGTTGGTCAAAGTGGTCCTGAACCACGACAATAACTAACCTGTCATTAAACTAGCTAGTATTTGACATTATTCCACAGTGGTCAAATTTAATTTCTAATTTACCCTATTATAGCTGCATATTTTAGCAATTTGAAGAAGATTTTCTGCACCAATAGACTTTTATTCTACATTTAAAACTTATACGATTGTAATTTACTGAATACGATTTGATTAAAACTTGGGTTCTATAGAGACTTACAACATTATAATTTAATTTTTGAATGTTGAAAATTGTAGGAGTTGTTTTAATGCGCATTAAAGTTTGAGAGAATGAAGTACGCATGAAGAATGAGCCTTACCTTCTTGTCATTATCACCGAGTTGCTTTTCGAGTTTCTCCACTTTCGCCTTTTGTTTCACGACAGCATTCATCAAAGACGGATCTACAGTAGAATGAGGGGTAAAAGCCGAAGTGGAGGAAGAGAAGGTATTGCAATTCTCAATACCATTTTCAGTTGAACCGAAGATGGCATTGGTCGAAGCTGAGTGTCCGGATGATGCACCATTCACAGCTGGTGCTGAGGCAGGCGGTGGCGCTGTGGCTGCAGCAAGTAGACTCGCCTGTGATTCATTCAATGTCGCTTGAGCTGTAGTCAGGTCCTCCCTAAGTCGAACGCCTGTTTGACAGCATTTGAAGTATGCTGACTTTGCCTTGAATAGAGCGCTCTCCGCATCAACCATCCGTTTTAAATCCACTTTCCATTTCGCCTTGAGAACCTCTCGAGTTTTAGCAAACTCTGTTCGCTGGCGTTTCAGCACCTAAATTTAGAATTCAGCCAAACTTAAATAGAGTCTAGCTGTTGAACATTTTGCTTTTTTAGGCAACCAGTATTTCCCGACAATCGTTCGGTATTTGATCAGTGCGAGATAAATTTAAATTTTAGAAGGTTATAGTCAATTGCTCTTACTTCTATTAACTCGCGATATCGCTTTGTATTGTGCAGTTCGGTTTCTTTAGCTTGGTCGATGATCTAATGCAAATAAAATAAACATTGTTAGCGAATGATTTGTACCGAAGAGGATAGGTTGCATTAAAATACATTAACACCCACTATTCTAATGAATTATTTTGATAACACTTGCCAAACCACATGAGTGGCCTCTAAATTATCTTCTCTTATATTAATAGTCAATCAGTTAATCTATTTTTTTTTGAAAACTCTGCCCAAATTAAGATTATTGACGTTTGAATTGAGTATAACTATTTAATTATTAAATTTCAATAAATTTTAAATATTTAATAACACATTTATAAATAAGCCTCGATAAAACTAAAGTGATTGTTTAATTAAACAGTGCAATTTTTGTGTAACTGGATTCATGAACTTTTTTTAAACAAAATTTTCATTCAAAATTTATGAATGCCTCCTGTGTGCGTGTTTGAGAGAGCGCAAAGTTTGGATAAAATCGTATAAATCACTTGACTTGAGAGTTAAAATTTAAAGGGGATGGAATGCAAAATGTGGGACCACCAAATTCCGAATGTGAAACTAAATAAATTGATTTAATTTCGAGTAATCAATTAGGGTGAGAACTTGCCAACATGGTAGCCAAAGAAACCAAAAAGGAATATAAATTCATACCAAAAAGGCAACAAAACGAACATTAAAATGACTAGCTGTGAATGAAATAGTCTTGGTTCACGGAAATCAAGATGGTCCCTTCTCTTATCACACCGAGGAGCGTGTTCTGTTGCTTCATCGAAAAATGACATTCTAATCAATGGTATTTCCGCCTTTCCTGACCCTCAGGTGACTTGAAACACTAAAATTTCTTGTTAATCGATTCGACAGTACAAGAGAGAATCACTTAATTTTTCGAGAACATTCGCACACAATAAGAAGATTTCAATTTTAAATTTCAATTTCATCAATGCGGGGATTTACACTATTAGGAGCAGAGTAACCTTGGTTGTCCGAGCGTTTTCTTGGTGACATTACCGATTTTCCCTAGCTATGACATTGTGCAAGCTTTCTGTTCGAGAGGAAACTCAGAGAGCTTATTTAAACAGGGCCCATGGTAAAGTGGTTTGTGTCATAGCCACAAATCGCTTCTGATCACCACTCGAACGCAAGTGGAAACATCATTTTTAAGTACCGAAATCCCCTAATGTAACCTTCTCCACCAACCTTTTGGCCGTAATTTTGGCGGTTTTATGCTTTAATTTCCAACTCTTCTCTTTGGCACAAACTATATCTCTTTCCTTACTCAATGAAGTAAACATTCATAAAATTTTCGAAAAGAATTTCTTCGAATGCAATTCACAATTGTTCTTTAAACAACAGGTTTTCAACATGATTTTACAATAAATTTAGTTCTTTTTCTCCCGAGAATCACAGAATGTGGCTCGAAAAAGCAGCATCAGTAAGATTTTCAAAATTTGTATCTCTAAGCTTCACATAACCATGACTTCTGAGGCTTTACAGAAGCTCAATATCTCCGTAAGGGGTTTATGAAGGGAGCCTTATTTTACTTTATGCCTATTTAATGATCTGTTGAAATATCTTCAGATCTGCCAAGAACTGATTGTGAAAGCTAAATGAGGAAAGGGTTAGAACCATTCTTTTAATAAATTTAATAATTAAGGTATTTCAAATCAAAGGACTTTGTGAATATGTACCACAAAGAAATTTAATTGTAGTTTCAGGCAACAGTACTTATCCACAGAATGTTGGAAAGATTACTAAATTGAAATAAATGTGCTAATTAAATATCTTTAATTTAAACAGGAAGGTATATTAATTAAAATTTCCGTGCTATGATTGGTTCGATTTTTCACCAATTGGATGTAGTATTAGTGGTCTAGCAATTAGTAATACAAACAGCAACAATGAAAATAGGTAAATAAATAGTTTGTCATTAGCTTTGGCTTAAAACTACTGTATCTAATAACTTTAGCTGGGGAGACGCATTAGATTAATACATTTCAAAATCTACCATAAACATGTAGACATGATCCACTAATTAGATTTAATATCAACACTCATCAAATTATTATATACCTGTTGCTAGTTGCACATATTTCTCGAATATTTATCCCTTTACAATATAAATTGGATTATTGCCTTATTTAATTTCGCGTCAGTTTATTAACGGAAATAGAACCTGTAGCATTCTAAGGTCCCATTTTTACCTTCACAATTTTTCAGCTTCCAGAACCAAAGCTCCATGGTACTATTTAACAGATATTTTCAATTAATATCGATTAATATCCTTCGAGGATATCGGATGATGAGATGGGATTAAAATGGTAGGAAGAAGTAACGATAGAATAGATTCATGACCTTGAATAAGGTGAGGATTCCTAAAAATAGCACAGAAGGGGGTATATGAAGAGGAAGTGAACCCTTGCGTTAAGTAATGAGAGTGATCAAGACGTAGGTAAAATGAACTGTTTTACGTCATGATTGCTCATTAGGCGAGAAAAAATGAATCATAGGCATCATCGAATTTGACTAGACGCAAGTGTAAACATTGCGAGCTGTAAACAATACGTCAGCCCACATGATTGCTAATGTTTGCACACGGACTTTTGACACTTGCCTAATTAATACTCTGTCAATAAAAGTCTGTGGTTGGGATTGTCTTTCACTTGTAATGAATAATTATTTGCTGTAAAAAAATCTTGAAACATTATTCGTATTCACATAAACGTGCCAACAGTATTGCTAAACATAAACCACCATGAGCGCGAGTTTAACTTAAAAAGTCAGTGAGATGAGTAAATTGACATCGACCAGCGTTAAGTTCCTACTGAAAGACATACACAGATGATTGGAATTACTTTTATTTGATAAATAATTAATGTGCTTAAAATAGGTACATTAAACGGGCAAAAAATGGTCCATTCAGATAATTTAAATGGGAAGGTGAGCCGTAAAGCATTCTAAATCCCACTACTAGGGACAGTTTAGAATAAATCAACGAGTTTTCTGGTAGATTAAATTCGTAGATATGATTTAATGCCTATATATACATGTGCGTGTGTGTGAAGTTTGAGGTAGTGAGTATTGTTTTGACCTAAGCAACATTTAAATCGATATTCTAACTGCGTATTTCGAGTCAAGAATGAATTATTTTGAGGACTGATTTTAAGTAGTAAAAATCATTTTACCATCCCAAACTAGATGTGTTTGAATTCAAATTTGAGTGATGCTATTAAACTCACCATTGCTAATGAAATTAACATCAAAATGGAAGGATCTATCTGCTTAGATAATACCCGCATTACCGCAATATATTTGATTTTAAGAATAACTCCTAGATCAGCGAACATGGACTTATAGTCAATGAACTTTTTAATAACTGATGAATAGGCTCTAATTGTTTATACACATGTTAAACTTTCTTTTTTAGGTCAAATAAAGAGACATATTTGAAAGTGATATCGAGCATGCTGTTTAGAAGAATGATCTAACGGCATACATTTACACCTTCAAAATGTGCGATGATCAACAATACTAAGGAGTATACTTTGAAGAAATGTGAAAAGCCGGGATTCAAAATAAGGACTTACCAATCGGCTAAATTGTATAAGTTCTGCTGATAGTGGTGCCTCGGGCTACACAAATCGAGGTTAGAAAAAGGTGCGATCCATGAACCTACCGTTGCGCTGACGCTTGTTAATAATCCTTGGAAAAGTTTTGCTGTAGCTCGCATGCAATCATTTTCTAACAAAAAGGTGCGAAGAATGTAGCAAGGGTAATCCAAACCATTTATTAAAGTTAATGCATTAAAATGATCATTAAAATATCATATTTTAAGGTATAAATAGGGTCACGATGTTCTCAGTTGCTATCTGCACGTTAGATTCTACGGGATTCTATTAGCTGTTAATTTCATAAAAATTAGTTCCATGGTAGCTTTCTGTTGAAAAATTGTACTTTCAAGGTCGTGCCATTCTTTACACATAGAGCAAATGACCTCTGATATGACATAAATGAATGAAACACTACAGACGCATATTTAACAATGATAGGAATTTTATTCAGACGATGGATAAATTGACTTATCAATTACTACATTTTCAGAATAAGTCTAAGTTGACTTAATTCCACGTATTATTGCGATACACACTACGCACTTGATCACTTCGATTTTGGTCATGATCACATTCTATTGTTGTTTCACCTCTTAAACAGTACAATGAAATCTATTTGTCATTTACATTAGACAAATGTAAGTTTCGGCAATTCCAGACTGTACATAATAAATCAAGTATAGTGAAACAGTGAATAAGATGTCCCGACATCTTTGGGCAAATGATTGGATATGTTTATCATTTGAATAAATACTTCCTTCTGAAAAACGCATAATCATCATAAGTTAAAATTAGTTTTGCCAACTAGACAATGCCCTAACAACTTGATTTGAGGGATAAATTTTGCCTTGGAAACGACATTCATGACCAAAAGAGATGGGAAACTCACCATAAATAGCTCTTTTTTCTAAAGTTCTGATAGTATCCTTTAGACATTTGCACCAAGTTTTGCTATAAGTCTGGACGAAATCTACTGCACTCTTGTCTTTGCTTGCAAAAAGCAAATCTTCGGTTGTAATGCCGTGACCTGAAATGAAATATAAAATATATGCTGTTTCTATTTTTTAATATAAATAAAAATGAGATTCACAAAAGATTAGATATAAAATACGTAGATTTAAAGGGTTGACGAAACAAATTTCAAATGCATTTATAGGTAATGGTTGTAGCAAGGAAAGCAATAAAAAATAATCTAGGGTAATCTTTAAATGTTCAAGCGAAATTAATCGCTCATTGAAGAAAAATAAGAGTTCTTAGAAGATTAGTTAGTTAGAAGTTGAGGCAGATTTAAAATAGGACAGTTAAAATTTTAAATATTAGGCATTAAGTTCAATTAATAGACTATACCGTATTCAATAAGAATGTCACCAATATTTCCTTTAAGTTTTTTATCGGATTCTTCCGAAGCAGCCATTTAGAGTCCGTTTAAAATGATATTATAATTTCTAAAAGGATAAACATATGTAATGAATTGAATAAATTTTGCTATCAAATGCAAAAACATAAAGATTGAAAAAGAAAAATCGCATTTTTTACTATTCGTTGTAAATTTAAGATATTTCTTGATTCAATAAAACTGCTTTTTAATATCGTACAACAAATTCTGAAGCAGATCATATTTACCAAAAATATACACCGTAAGATTGCAGGTAAAATCCGCAGACGAAAAATTATATCAAAAACGTGCCCAAGTCTCACAAAACGTCCTAGAGAAAAATTTAGATCAATTTAACAAACTTTTTATTTAATTTCTTGATGTGTTTTAATTTACATTCAATAAAATGAGATTTCTATTATAAAATACTGCTTTATATCAATAATATTAATTCCGAATTTTGAACGAAACATTTTTATATAACAACTTGTATTTTAAGACTGCATATATCATCTCATACAGGTAAATATTTAGGATCATATTGGGCAGAAATGACAGCGATTAAAACATGTTATGGGACTCTAAAATAGTTTTAGTGTATTTCTTCAATACATGATATTTCATTGCCAGTGTGTGGGAAGGTGATCAATAACCCAAAATGACACAATTAAATTTCACGTTGAATCTCAAATCTAGTTTTTCCGAAGTAGTTCGGCACAGAGGCATTTTATACGATTGATCATTAGTATGAAGAACTGATAATTTTTTAGCAGTCAGGCGATGCAGGCGGTGGTTCACAATGCCCTTCTTATAGCGACTTAGCAATTAACTAAACACCTCAGTCTTCAGTTAATGAGACTTTGATTCACATGGTCTTTATTGGTGGTCCAAAATGTATGATCAATCAAAAATCATTAAAAAATAAAGACTTTATGTTTCTTTCTAGAACTTTCTTTTAACATTATTTGTTAATACCAAATCCATATCGCTTACTCATTGTAATCAGTGTATTTTATCTCTCTCCGTGCAATGAAATTGTCTTACTTACCATGAAAATTAATTAGACCATTTATCTGATCTAATGTATTTTTATTAAAAATATCATCAAATCTGTGTTAATAACTTACTCTTCTCATCCATTTTTCGCTAAATTCATCTCTTTTTTTAGATTTAATGTAATAGAATCCTTTTTCATTTCTTCTATTTAATTCCTCCACCCTTTCAATTATGAACATCATGAATAAACAGTTTAGATGGCACTCTAAAATCTCAAAATTGCTGTAAAAGAGTATTGCCTTTGGGAGAACTTAAAAGTTTGAATGAGAACCTGCATTACTGTTCTATAGGTAATCTCATGAATTATTCCGCCAATGTAATAATGTTCAAGTCTATCGTTCTCCCAGTTCTCTCCTCCACACAGTAATCGTAACAATTACTGGTTTAATTTAAACTCCTTACATTCACATTTTTGAACAGTTAATTTTAGCAAATAAGAGTTTGTCTCTCGAGAATATATGAACAAACTTGAAATTTTGAATTAGTTTAAATTTTACAATGATCACATTGAGATATGAATACGCCAATGATTTTTAAAATACATTTTGATTGAAAAGATTTTTTGAATTTATATTAACTTAAAAAAATAAATACGGCTTTGATTCTTTTAATAAAGCGAATACGTCGCTCTTGATATTAAAGTGATCACATTACTTAGTTTAAATTTTCAGGTTTTTTGTACATGAATGGACTTTTTGTCTTAATATTTTTATTGTTTTTAAATATTTGCTAGTTAGTTACTTGCATATCTACTCTTTTTTCAATCTTAGTGGAATAGTACGTTATTTACAGGGCAATGAGTTTACTTGAATCATATGCCAAGCGAAAATCTGCCAAGTTACCACCTAAACATATTTCTGGACTAAAAAGGTTAATGAATCAGGGATGCTTCGTTACTGGATCTGGAATACCACTTTTCGATGATCTTCTTGGTGGTGGTTTACTTTTAGGTGGAAGCACTCTGTTCAGTAAGAAATATTTAATTACTAATGTTTCAAATTAGTTGAGGATTATCATCGAACATATATTAGATACTTTATCAGACTTTACGCTGCTCAAGGATTGCTTTATTATCACAACATTTGTATGATATCCCCCACTGATAGTATCGGTTCTTTCCTTTTGGTAGGCTTTTCTTGTTATTTTGACTGCAAAATTTCACAGGGTTTACCAGGTGTTTATACATTAAGTGCTGAAATGGATTCAATTGAAGACAAAATGACAATCGCATGGCGTTATCAAGATCTTCCTTCCTCCCGTATTTTAACTGGAAATAAGCATTCCCTCTCTAATGATTTCGACATGTCTAAGAGTTTGGATGTTGATTCTTTGGTCAAGACTTCTAAATCACCCCCTTCAGAATTGAAAATCGATCCCTTTTCCTCACTGGAAAGCAATCTCCACAAAGTCCTAAGCCATATTGAAACAATCTCGAAGAATGAGAATAATAATGTTACGCGAATATGTAGGTGCTAATATTATTTTCCTTTATTTCTTTAATTTTTTTCATAAATTTTTATTTTCGCTCCTAAATGGTTTATAATAACCTCAGATTTATATGATCCCTTTTCTGTTGTGTCGATTCACTACTAATTTATCCAATTGCTGCTTAACGCATTGTTAATAATATTTAGTCATTGATTCGATTGCTTCGCCATTGTGGGGTTCTCATCCAGTGAATTTGCAGCAATGTTTGGCTGCGTTTATGGCACGATTGAGACTACTTCTTCGGCAGTCTTTCATGCTTGTCTACATCACGGTTTCCAAGGCGGCACTCGAGGTTGGTTTCCTGCTGCTTTTGTTTGCTAATTCGATTTTGGTACCTAAATTCTATGTATTTAAAATCGATAATTGAATTTACTTGTTTTTTTCATTATGGGATTACTTGTAATATTTATGGCGAAAGGGTTTGTCAATAGCTACTGGTTGCTTGATGCTGTACTCGATTTTGGTCGGCTAGTTGATATGAGACGTGTTGTTTCTTTCGGTATTGATTAAACTCATGTTTTCTCCAATAATCGACATAATTTATTTTCAAATTAAGTATATATTAAACTTTCAATCCTTGAGTATAGAAATTCTGCTTTATCCAAGTAAAACGTGTTTTATCTCTCTGCCTTCTGCTAATTTGGAGTAGACTAAACCTGTATTCATTGGCGTATATTTAATTCTATGCATCATAAATCGTATTGATTATTTCTGTCCTACAGGAAGAGTAGTACAATTGATTTTTTCATCAATATAATGGTTTCTTTCATTCGACTTCTGCCAGCTTGAAGGGCTTGTCGATTGTCCTTATTTTGGGGGGAAGATACAGCATTGAATGACGTCTGCCTCGGAGTGATTTTTACACCAAATTTGTCTTATCGATACATTTGATTGAGTTTTATTCTGATTTTGTTTCACACTCTCCCTCATTTTCAAGTTTAATTCATTATAGTTAACTTGGGATTCTATGTTAAACTATGATCTATTTTCTCAAAATTATTTCCGTCACTGTCCCTCGATTGTAGTTTATTGTATTAATCGTTTCTTTGTTGTGAAACTGTTCAATGTTATCCCTCACCAACAAAGCGTTGTAAAAGTCGTTTCTTGATAATGGCCACTCTCTAGCAATGCTAGGCTTTTGAGGATTGACTTCCTTAACTCATTTCAAAATGTGATAATGTGGTGAATATTCCTCATGACTTTCTTTTTGCTTGATTTAATTTCTATTTCTTCTAAGTAAGCAGATTAAGAGTATGAAATATGGAGATGAACTTTGCCTGCGTAAGATAAGCGTACTTTACGCCAATAAGATATTATCTCTTTTATTTTTTTTTCGAACCAGATATCTTGGTTATGATTGCTTTTTTAAAGCAAGTAGAACTGATTGAACCCTTCCGAAATATTCTCATAAGTTTGGGTAAGATTATCCAACCGATTTTAGTATCAAATATACATTGTTGTAACATTAAAGTCTTTATTATTTTAATATTCTTTTAGGAATCTGGTTTAAATTCCAGATGGTTGAGCTATGCCGATCACGTATTTGAAGTGGTGGGCTTTGATGGTTTGGAAGGCGTTAACAATATGGCCGCCAATCCCCTTTATGATGAATATCACGGTCTACTCAAGGTCCTCAAGATCCCCTCCGTCAGTGGACTTAACCTTGCCCCCATCTCTCGTCCACTCACTTATGATTGGGCTTTCAAGGTCAAACGAAGGCAGTTTGTCCTTCAGGTAGGTATTCACACATTTCATTCATATTATAAGCTCCATTCTAAGATCTAATGCGTCATTATTAATTCGGCCATATACTCAATGCTCATTTATACACTGGCTATATCTTTCTGAACCAAAATTTCTCTATTTGCAGTGGTTAACTATGAATGTCAAATCGATAAAAGACATTTATGGGACATTGTCTAATTAAAAATCAATGGAAATTGATTGCCTGCACATGATACTGATAAGTCTTAATGTGACTTTAAGTTATCCCCTCGCGGTGGAACATTATTTGTTGTTTTGCTTTGACTGCTATGGGTCAAGTTGCTTCTCGACTTTTACCGTTCGCGCTCTTCTTGGAATAAGACAGAGCGGAAGAATGCAAAGACCTGCCATTTCCAAATAAATGTCAACCGCATCTACCCGTCTCACGTTTGCCCTCGTGGAACGACAATTTGTTCTCCTTATTTTGATGATGATGCGACGCTGGATGACATATTCACATATTCGGCTTTAGCATCACCTCAATTACTCTATGTTAGGTTAGACGGACTGACCTTCACTCCCCAAGTCGATCAATGTCGCATTCGCCTGCTTGAGTTCACGTTAAGAAACGAGCGGTGTAGTTACTTGTGACTCCATCAAAGATGAGAAACCACTGCAAATCGCTTACTTGCATAATTTACTCAGATAGATAAAGTCAGTTTTGACGAAATATTGTCTGATTAAAAATGACCATACGAGTGCAAAGAATGGATAACTGAAGAAGAAATTGAAATAAAGGAGGTTGTGGGGATAAATTGTGAAATATATGTGGAAACTATTACTTTTATATAAGATTGGCGTATCTTTTTTCTGATTTATTTTCATGGCGCCAACTTGAAATGGACATCTATATATATATATATATATACATATATATATATATACATATTTCTACTTTCAACTAGAGTCATTTTACTAAGCTTCTTCTACCCACTGAGATTCAGCTGTGCTTTAAGATGAGGTTGAAACTTCCTTGATGTAGAATTCGAAGCCATTAAGTATCCTTTGTATGATATTTACCCGGTGCTTTGTTCCATTCGCAGGGTGGAGAATGTTCCTTAATGAATTGTGCCAGATTTCTGTGGCAGCCCTAATATATTATCTTGGGTTTGAGGATTTTTTGGATTAACGATGGGACATTGGCAAACATACCTGCAGTAAACTATTTATTTATATCAAATGGCAGGCGTTTTGATGGCTGTCATTAGCCCTTTAGTTGACTTCAGGCTGCACAGAGAGGAGGAGGAATATCAAAGTGAAAAAAAGTCGAGAGGGGGGG